TTAATAATCTAATAATGCCATCGATAACGATCGATTGCTTCCTTGTTACTGCTCGTTTACGATTTAACAGCAAGAGAGTTATTCGCTGGCGTACAGTGTTCCCTTGCTGTGCACGTATATATATATATATATATATATATTCAACAAGTGGATTCAGCAGCGTTATTATAATAATAAACCAAGGATGCAACATGATCATCGAAAGGGGATAGAGACGCGACCCCTTTTCTCGGTGAACAACCAAAAATGGGGGGTTTGGGGGGGGGGGTGGCGATTGGAACGTTAAGGATGAAGAAGAAAGGAGGAAACGAAACGCAGCAGTTCAGATGATTCGATGTTCAAATGTTCAATGTATTTGGACAATTCTTCAATCAACAATTTCATATACTTTGAAGTAGAATACATAACGTGACGTTAAAACAGCTTTTACGATCGAGCGAATTTTACATCGCCTAACAAGATTCTCCTACTTCTTAAAAAGATTATCATCTCTGTCTATCTATCTCATCTCATCTATATATCTTCGTCGACATCTTCGTTTCCGACTCTTTTCTTTCTTTCTTTCTTTCTTTCTTTCTTTTCTTTTGTACTTTTCGAATACTCTCCACCGATAAAATACTCTCTTAAAAACTCCTCTCTCGCTCTTGGATCCCTCGTTCGCTCGATCTTTCTCTCTCCCTCCCTCCCTTTCTCTCACTCACTCACTCTCTCTCACTCACTCACTCACTCACTCACTCACTCACTCACTCACTCTCTCTCTCTCTCTGCATAACCATAATATTACGACTACTCGAATATCGTACTTTCCTAGAAAACTCGTGTAAAATCCATCGTTGTCCGCATTGCGAAATATGAACGCGTTTCGAGGATATCGTATTCTAGAGAACTGCTAACACCGTAAGTTGATCCGTTCGATCGGCCTTGACCGTTGAACCACTACTCGCGAGGCATTGGTTGAAGAGAAGAAAGAAGAAAAAAAAAAAAAAGAATCAACGATCAAACACGCAGAGGACACGTTCGGACGTTGAGATCGATGGACGGTCGGTCGGATTGGCATCGCGACGCGGTGTTAAATAAAAGATGGAGGCGGCCAACGCTCGAGCCGAGGGACGCGATTTTTCGCATGACCCACGAAAGGGGACAAAATCGTTCCAAAGGCAATATCGAAAGTGAAACGATCGCGAGTTCGAAGGTGCGATCGAGGGGCCGGTTCACGTGCTCGCTATGCTCTTTGAGGGCTTCGGTTTCGCGAAGCAAACGTATCCCGCACTCACGTCGCAGCCGGACACCAGGAGATTCATTAGCACGCTGTTGCACGCTGGATTCCGCTGACCGATCGTGTCGCCGTTCTCTACGCCGTTCCGACCACACCTTCTTCCGCTCTCGTTCGCCTCGTCGTTTCTTCTTCCGCCGCCATCGCTGTTGTCGCCACCGCCGCCATCCCCCTCACCGCCGTCCTGCACCACCACATCCAGCTCCGAGTCTGTCCGATTCTGCCGCCCGTTCGCTGCGCCCTCCAACGTTTCGTTCGCGAAATTATTATTTCGCAGAGCGGAGTTTTGATGCGACACCAAGCGGCGCAGCAGTTGACTATTGCCGAGGTTGGACGAGCATTTCCTCGAAGACTGTTGTTGCTGCTGTTGTGTTGGTTTGGTCAAAAGGTGATCCTCCAGTCCCAGATGGCAGCTGCGTTTCGCGGACTCGTCGCATTTGATACGTTTATTGTCGTTTCCTACGTCTATCGAGGCAGTGTGAATACGCTTCGTTGGTCTGTCCAATTTGGAGGACCAATGGCAGTTATCTAGATTCATATCTGGGAGAGGACACAAAGAGAAGAGGGCGTAAGTCGCGCGAATCGCAGACTATATTTTCATTATTACACACAACGCACCTTTGAATCCCCACACACGCACAAGCTGCGCTACAACGGTTGAATGAAATAAATAAAAAGAGAACACCACTCACTTTTTCTAGGGATTTGGCCGAGAACTTGAACCGGATTCACCAAACCCCCACCATGGTCGTTGTACTTTCTCGAGACGACCTGATCCGTTTTTAAAAGCTGTGCCAAACTAGAATCCGACGTTCGTTGCTCCTTCTCCGCCAACATCCTACAAGTTGAGCACGCGCAAACGTTTTCAAAAAAAAAAAAAATAGGTTTTTCTCATCCCCCTCCTAGTTTCTTATTTCGAGCGCTTTCCATTTCATACCATTTCAAACCGTTTTTCTGATCCGTCGTCTGGGGCGGGCTCCACATCACCATGTCGTTGCTGATAAGCAGATCCAACGCCTCGTCCTGATCCGACATGGGTATGTAAGGAGCCCTCAACTCCAACTCGTCGTCGGCTATGCTGTCGTTCAATCCCAACATCAACATCTCGTCTTCCGACAGACCGTCGGCACCGCTGCCACCGGTCGGGCTGCCCAACGAGTCTATACTTCTTTCCGGGCTCTGCGAGGAGAAGAAAACAGGAGGGGGGGGGGGGGGAAGAAAGAAAGAAAAACAAGATGAAAACGTAAAATAAAACACGCATAATCGTGGTAATTTCGATTCGAATCAAAGAGAAGAATAAGAAAAATCCCCTCGAAATTTTTGATCGACGACTCACTTGACGATACTTGGTGAGCTGGGGTGAAACGGCGGTGGGATCGATGCTGCAAGGGCTGCTCGGCGAGTCGCCGTACATGAACGGGTCGCTGTCGGCCAACGACTCCCCCAGATCCTTGCTCCTCGGGGTGTCGCCCAACTCGGCGTCCTTGAGGGAGTCGCCGAAGTCCGTGGATCGCAATTCGGGGGCCAAGGCTCCGCCCGGGCTGAGCAGGGGGCAATAATTGTCGCTGCTCAGGATAAACTCGTCGAGCATTTCCGAGAGGAAAGGCGTGTCCTCGAGGGGGACGCACACGTCGCCAGGTGTAGGCGCCAGATGCGTTAGATCCTCCGGCTCGTCCTTCAGCACTGCAGCAACATTTCGGGTGAGGGAAATATTTTTCAAAAACCCGACGTCGACGACGAACAACGAGTCGAGGGGAGAGAGAAGGAAAAGAAGTCGCTTTGTTCGGCGCGAAACGAGAACGATAAATCGTTCGACAATTTTGTTTCCTTCGTGGAAAGGAATTGTGTGAATCGATATCACCATTTTTCGATTCTCTTGAATCTTTGCTTCCCTATCGAAATTCCCTTCTCCTTCCTAATCGGAAAGCAAAATATTCGTTTCGAATTTCGCACTGTGTTATTAACGAGAGAATTTGTCGAACGATTATACGTTGTCGCGAATCGGGGAGAAATTTTTCCAAGATGGGGGACGAGAGAGAGAGAGAGAGAGAGGAAGGAAACGACCACC